AGCGAAGCAGATCGCCGTCGTTCATGGGAAAGACGAGTGGACGAAGATGTTCAATATCGACGGGAAGAAGGTATGGGGAGGGACGCAATACATGGACGGCTTCTTCGGCAACTACAAGCAATGGGCGAAACCTCGACACGTTCGTCGATCTGATGTGATGCAGTACGTTCGTGAGTACCAGTACTGGTTCGTGACCAAGAAGGAGGACCGCCTGGTGGCGTTCGGGAAGGCTTGCAAGGATTACGCCTGAGTCTGAGGCGTTTGGGGGTAGCTTCCAGAGCAGCGTTGCAGTGACGCTCTGGGAGTAGTTCGCTAGAACCACTGCGTGCTTTCTGATTAGTCTGGGTAAAGAGCGATCGCCCGCTCACGGCGGGGGCAGAACATTAGCGAAACATTGAGCCAAAAAGGATGAGACTAACCAAATAAACAAACAAACAAACATATATATATATATATATATATATATAAAAATATATAATTATATATGTTATCTATATATTATATATATATATATATATATACCGTTGAAAAGAAATGGGCGACACAATAAAGAAAACACACTTAACACGTGATGTAATGCAAAGATACGCGGCTGAATTAGAAAAGCCGTCGGGAACGTCCAGAAACCGAGACGGCCACGGAGGCGCACGCGCGGGAGGGGGGTCGCGGTAGCGGTTTACCTGGTCTTCTCCTGACGCTCCTCCTCGAGGGGCAACGACAGAGGGGGGGTAAGCAGTGTGGGGGATACATCGACCTGGAATCGGCGATACATTTGAAGGGGCCCACAAACACACAAATAAATACACACAAATAACACGATTCCCCATACTTTCCCATATTTTCTGGGTTTCTGTCTTCCCCCCCACTTCCCATATTTTCCTATATTTTCTGGGGAGTCGACGATTAATTGTGTCTGTGTGTTTTTCCCCCTCCTGAACATTGTCGATATATCGGCACTGGGGCCCCGATCGTGAATCCGCACCTTCCTGGGCGGGGTGCGGCTATCGGGTCCCTATCGGCGATCCATCGGCGATTGTGGGCCGATGCGTCCCCCCTATTATGCCTATCCCCCCTATCGTTGCCCCCGAGTCGCGCACCTCGCCCCGCCCGCAACAGCCGCGCCATGTCCGGCCCGACTCGCCCCCAAGCCCGGCCTGGCGGCGGCCTCGGCCAGCTGGACGGCCTCCAGTGCTGCCTCCTCGCCGGGGGCGCCGCCAGAGTGGGGCGGGCGAACACGGAGTACAGACAAGCACGTTCCACTACTCGCACAGTAACTGCTCGCAAAGGACCTGGATCCGTCGCGGGGGATTCACGATACGTTGCATGAGGTCGAGGCACACACATGTGTGTGTGTGTTGTTAGTGTGTGTGTGTGTGTGTGTGTGTGTGTGTGTGTGTGTGTGTGTGTGTGTGCGCGTGCGTGCGTGCGTGCGTGCGTGCGTGCGTGCGTGCGTGCGTGCGTGCGTGCGTGCGTGTGTGTGTGTGTGTGTGTGTGTGTGTGTGTGTGTGTGTGTGTGTGTGTGCGTGTGTGTGCGTGCGTGCGTGCGTTGTGCGTGTGTGTAGTGTGTGTGTGTGTGTGTGTGTGGTGTGTGTGTGTGTGTGTGTGTGTGTGCGCGTGCTCGTGCGCGTGTGCGCGTGTGTGCGTGTGTGCGTGCGTGCGTGCGTGCGTGCGTGCGTGCGTGCGTGTGTGTGTGCTTGTGTGTGTGTCGGACGTTTATGCGTATTTCGGCACTCTGTGCGTGGCGGAACGCGATCGGTGAGACTAGGACGGCGGCGAGGATGGGGAAGGAGGCGGGGACGGCGGAGGTGACAGGGGATGTTTCGACCCCCGCCCGAAACTTTGGGGCTTTTTCCACTGGACCGCATCTTCGGGGCCCAACTCTGGGCTATGCGATGGGGGCGGCGTCCAGCCTCGTGCGTCCGAATACCCCTCTGGGCGTGCACTCCAGACTTCCCCCCCCTCTCTGGGCGGCCTCACTTTTCGGGTGGTGGACCTCGGGGATCGGGGGCGAAGCTCCGCCTGCGAGGAGGGAGGGGAGGACGACGAGATCGAAGAGGGGGAGGGGGGGGGGGGGCGGAACAAGGACCGGGAACGACCTCACGCTCCGACGTCGTGACTGTGTCTTACAGCGTGGAGCACCGGGTGCCTGGACCCCCTCCCTGTGGGACCGCCTTTTCACCCCGAGTCGTTTCGGACACCCCGGGCGCCCGGTGAGGGCGCCGGGAGGCCGAGCAATCGTCAAGCAACTCGCGTTGTGGCTCTGTCGCGTGGAAGAGGAGGAGGAGGAGGAGGAGGAGGAGGAGGAGGAGGAGGAGGAGGAGGAGGAGGAGGAGGTGGAGGTCGGTCGGTCGCTGCATCGGGCCTCGGGTCGAAATATCACTCAACCACATCTACACATCAGAACGAATCGATATATACGACCTGCAGTGCGCGCTCATGCTTAGGAAAACAAGGCGTGCCCTCCCTGGGAGCCCCGAGTTGTCTTCGCTCTACCATTTACGGTGGGACTCGAGGATTTTTAGAAGTTCAGTTAGACTGAGTTGTGCGAATTGCTCTACATCTGCTGTTCTATTGCTACGTTTCGACATCACATGACACTGTACACTACTGCTAGCTGGCTGAGGACGGGGAGTGGCCGTAGAAGAACGGGCAGGAGGGGTCTGGACGGAAGGAGGGGGAGGATCCTGCACTGCGGTCCTCGACGGCCCGCGCCGAGGTCTGGCGGTCTCCGCCCTGAGCTCGGCCGCGCTCCCCGCGGCCACACTGCCACGCACCGTGGCCGCCGCGGCCTCCCGCGAGCTCAGCGGTTGCGGAGCAGCGCCAGCACCAACTTCCACTCCTCTAGGACCTGCCACGTCCACGTCCTCAGCAGCATCTCCAGGAAGAAATGTCAGATGTCCGAGAACTGGTCCAGCGCCATCTGCAGCAGGCGCTCCTGGTGCCCGCGAGGGCCGACTCCAGGCTTGTACTCCGCCCCCAGCTGCTCGGCACACCTCGGGAAGCGCTGCTCCACGTCGGGGTCGCTGATGCACATCACAATCTTGGCCATGCCCTCCTTGTAGCACTGCGAGACGCGGAAGCCGCGCACCAGGAACGTCAGCTCGGGGATGGGCATCGGGTCGATCCGCGTGCACGTAGATCGTCTCCCAGGCCTCCTTGTTGCGCATGCCCACCTTCTCGCCCGCGCTCTTCAGCGCGCGAGCGGCCTCGAGGAACACCTGGACGCAGGCGGGACCCATGATCGCCTCGGGCGTCTTGTGCTGCGTGGGGTCGGCGTGGTGCAAGTCTCGCAGCTTCTGCGCCTCCAGCGCGTAGGCCTTGCCCGCCGTGAAGGACGCCTTCACCAGCTCGGCTTCGTCGTCCATGAGCAGCGTGTGGTAGTTCGTCGACATGAGCTGGCGGATGTTGAAGCTGTTGCCCAAGACCGCCTTCCCAATCACTGGGATGATCTTGAGCGCCAGCTGCAGCTCCATGGTCGGCAGCTTGTCCAGCGCGTCCTGCGGGAGCCCGTAGGTCTGGCCGATCTCGGCCTGCGCGGTGCGGCGATCGCCGCGGGCGCGAGCACCCGACACTGCGGCTGCCGCGGGCGCGCGCGCTGCGTCGGCGGCTGGCCGCGCAGCCGCGGCGCCGCGCTCGCTGCTGCGCCCTCCGCCTCCGCGACGGCGCGCGTGGGCCCCACGGCTGGCACTCGCGGAGCCACCTCGGCCACCTCGCCCAGGCGCGGCTCGGCGGCTGTGGGATCGGGATCGGCCCTTGGCCTCCTCCAGCACCTGCGGGCTGAGGCGGAAGGACATGAGCGTCGCCGCCGCCCACGGAGGCCCGCCGCACGGCCCGAGGTGCACTCGGGGCGTTCGCGTGCTCGAGCAGATGTGCCTGCAGACCTGCTAGGGTCTCGAAGGGCTCCCCAATCGAACATGCTAGCTCCAGAGACTGCGAGTCGGGATACACCGCGGACCGTGTTATCGAAGCCAAGGGACACATCAAAGATGGGGGCTCCACGACCTCGTGGTAGAAGGGGGACCGCTGGATGGGGCACCGACGAGTCAGGCAAGGAGGAGGAGGAGGAGGAGGAGGAGGAGGAGGAGGAGGAGACGGAGGAGTCGAAGGAGGAAAGACGAGCATCACCACGGGAGCCACGTCTCCGCTGCAGCAGTGAATTGCTGAGGCAAATGAGCTGACAGGGCGGGCCGGCCTGTGGGGCGAGAGCGAGAGAGAAGCGCCCGCGAGCCAATGCTCGGGCAGCCCCTACGCAAGACCAAGCCAGGACGAAGATCAAGTCCGGTGATAACCAATCAAGAATCTCAGAGAGATCCAGAGGCTCTGCAGAATTCCTCGGGCTCGGGCAGCCCCTACGTAAGACCGAGCCAGGACGAAGATCGAGTCCGGTGATAAGCAATCAAGAATCTCAGAGAGATCCAGAGGCGCTGCAGAAGTCCTCGGATGCTGCGGCCTTCTCAGGGCGTCCCGGAACGCTCTGAGGGCGTCCCAGAAGGCTCTGGAGTGGATGTATCCTCGTCCCGGTCCCGTCCTCTTTCTCCTCCTCCTCCTCCTCCTCCTCCTCCTCCTCCCATCAGCTCTCCTCCTCCTCCTCCCCCTCCTCCTGGCCCCGTCCGATGTCCACTCCCATCAGCTCTGGCAGCGCCAAACCAACGGCGGCCATGATGGCCTGGTTCGGACAATACTCGATCCCTTTGAGCATCACATCGTGGTCTCTTTGGGTGGCCCGGGTGTCTACGATCGCCTGGGTCGAAACCTGCTCCCAGATTCCACAATCACGTCCACACTTGTCTTCCCGCTGGGAAGCGCTCTCAATGGAAGGCAGCAGATCACAACTCAGAAGAGGAGTGAGGGGAGAACTGACCACAGAGCTACATGCGTCTTTCAGGACGAGAAAGCACGTGACCTGATCAGTCAGAAGCATAACAATTCAGATGCTAGGGATGACAAGATATTGTATGGCAGGTGTCGCCTGATTGGATAATGTTCTGACGCCGCGTCCACTTCCGGTGCCGTTGAATTGACGTCCAGTCCGTGCTAAAAACAATTGAGTGGCTCCTCCTCCTCCTCCTCTTCCTCCTCCTCCTCCTCCGCCGAAGGTCGGCTGGACGACGACTTGCGATGCAGTAGCCGAACCTCCTCCTCCTCCTCCTCCTCCTAATGCTGCTGCTGCTGCTCCTCCTCCTCCTCCGCCGCCTCCTCCTCCTCCTCCTCCTCCTCCTCCTCCTCCTCTTGCTCCTGCTCCTGCTCCTGCTCCTGCTCCTGCTCCTCCTGCTCCTCCTGCTCCTCCTCCTCCTTCTCCTCCTCCTCCTCCTCCTCCGTCTCCTCCTCCGTCTCCTCCGTCTCCTCCTCCTCCTCCTCCTCCTCCGCCTCCTCCTCCCCCTTCGCCTGCCCCTCCTCCTCGCCTCCTCCTCCCCCCCCCTTTCGACACGGTCGTCATCTTATAATTTGTCAGTGTGTCACCTGCTCGGCAATGTCTTCCGAAGCTTGACTGGCAGCGGCCCACAGCAAACAAAAATGGCCGGACGAAAGACCAAAACATATGCAGCTGCGATAATCGCAATAGAGATGATACGAAGGAGGAGGGCACGCAAACCCCGAATAACGCATGCCGTATACCCTATGCTCTCATAGGCAGCGCGCCGTAGGAAGAACGAGGCGCGGGGCAGTGTGAGCAGGTTAAGGACGCATGGTTGGGATATACGATGTACGTAAATTCCCGGTGGAGCTCCCCAAGGGGCCACGAAACGCTGTACTGAGTGTGGCGGCGGAGCTCCAAAGGGGGCCACGAAGCCCTGTACTGGAAGTGGCGGACGCATGCGGGCACCCCCACTGGGGCCTTCGGTGCAGCTCCCTATGGGGCCCCGAAGCGCTGTACTGGGCGTGGTGGACGCATGCGGGCACCCCCACTGGGGCCTTCGGTGCAGCTCCCTATGGGGCCACGAAACGCTGTACTGGGTGTGGGGGACGCATGTGGCCGGTAGTACCTGGGCCTTCGGTTGGGCCCCCCATGGGGCCACGAAACGCTGTACTGGGTGGGGGCGGACGCATGCGGGCACCCCACTGGGGCCTTCGGTGGAGCTCCCTGTGGGGCCAAGACACGTGTGAGGTTTGTGCTGAAACGGGTGATGACGATGATGATGATTAGAAGAGGAAAGGTGGGGCAGCGGGAGGAGTAACCGCGGGGCGCTGTCTCTTCCAAACGAGGACCCAACACCACAGGACGGCTGGGAATAATTCATCCTCCCCCTTCTTCCTCCTCCTCCTCCTCCTCATCCTCCTCCTCCTGCCCTCCTCCACCTCCTCCTTCTCCTCCCCGTCCTCATCGGCCTTCCCCCTCGTCCTCCCCCCTGCCCCTTCCTCTTCCTGGGGGGACCACGAGGCACCGCTGCCGCTTCTCCCCGGGCCTCTCCCGGGGCGCGCCCGGACCAGGATCCCGCGGCGCATGCGACAGCGGCAGCGGGGGCCTCCCAGGAGGCCCCCTCCCACAAGCCCAGACGAGGCAAGGGCAACATGCTCCTCCTCTGCTTTCCCCCTCGCCCCCATCCCTCCGCGCCCCTCGCCTCAAGTCGGGCGTGTCCCCCCCTACAGGAGGAACCTTCAAACAACAGTAAGACATGGTATGGGGACCATTTCTTGAATACCTTTTGAATACTTTGGGGTATGTTTGGTGCATTCTTAAATGTTTCGCCCAAGCTCCCCCTGTAGGGGGGACAAGCCCGCCCTTACCCCCATTCAAACATAGTAAAAAATAGTATGGGGACCATTTTTTGAATACCTTTTGGATACTTTGGGGTCTGTTTGGTGTACTCTTACTCTTTCGCCCAGGCCCCCCCCCTGGAGGGGGACAAGCCCGCCCTTCCCTGGCCATCGCTCGGACGTCCATTCCCTGTTTTTTTGTTTCGATGTCGTGCCTGGCTGTTTCGCCACATGATCTATTTGGACGCCCGACATGGGTACCGAAAAAATGGGTACGATGCCCAACAACAAATGTTGTCCCAAACCAACAGCGGCCGCTGTTGGGCAGGCGGCCTCCAGCCTCGAATGGACACCGGCCGCGGCGGCGTGGACAGCGAGGCCTGTTCAAAGTGAACAGGCACTGCTGTTGGGCATTGTACCCATTCTTTCGGTACCCATTTCGGGCGTCCAGAATCTATATGATTCGGGTCGGGCGAAAGGGGGGGATAGTAAAGGGGGAGTTTGAGAATCAGCTCACGTAGCTGATTTTCCCGGCGCCTCCCGGCGCCGGGAGCGGCCATGTATCGAGGAATGGGCCCCTCGGTGAGGCCGAAACCAGCTGCATGCAGCAAATTTCGTAACCCCCCCTTTCCCAATCCCCCCCTTTCGCCCGGCCCGACTATAGGATGCTCCTCGACTCGATGGCCCTCGCCGAAGGAAAAAGGCACACGCCCGAGCGATGCCAGGGCGCCCCTGCCCTCGCCCGCCGGGCTCCTGCCGCGCCTCCGCCTCGAAGAAGAGCTCGGCGCGCGCGCGCTCCGCCTCTCTCGCGGGGCGGGGGGGGGGGGGAGAGGGGGACTGACTACCTACCAGACCACCCCAACCCATCCCGAAGACGCGAATTTCGGGATTGGGAGGGGGTAAAGGGTTCCACACGTGTTTTTCGATGTTTCCCGACCCCCCCCCCACTGGAAATCGAGGGTAAATCTGAGCCTTCGGGTTGGGTTGGGGTGGTTTGGTGGGTGGTGAAGTGGGGACGGGCACCGCGCACGGCCGCCGCCGAGGACGGCGCAGCCTTCTGTTGCATCCTCGGGGGGCCTTGTCCGTCCCGCCGCGACCCGATCCGCGTCGAGTCCGTGCCGAATCCATGTCGGGCTCGCCGGGCCCGTGTCGAGCCCGCGTCGAGTCCGCGTCGAATCCGCGCCAGATCCGCGTCGAGTCCACATCGGGCCTGCGTCGGGCGCGAGAAAAGACACCAATTTTGGGGACAGGCGAGGTCTCCCGAAGATGCAACGTAACACAACCCCACCCCGGGGGTGGGGTCGCGATCCGGCGATTGTCAGATGTTGCCATAGCTGCGGAGGCGAAGGTGCCGTTTTCCACCATTCTCACGCTGTGAACATGTCAAGATCGTTGGTACTCACGATCTCAACAAGCTCAAAATGGGGACGCTGTCCCGTTCACTTCGCAGCTCGTTCGGGTCGGTACATACAGGGGAATTGGAACTACCCACCCACCCCCACATCCAGCCAGGACCCCCCATCGGATCGGGGAGACGTAAGACCCGGGTACGGGGGACTTGGAAATCCCCGACGAGGTCGTCAAAAAAAAGACGAGGCCGAGCCTGCATTTTGACGAGGCCTGCCGCTGCAGACATCCCACGAAACTCCTCCTCATCAAAATCCGAGTCGCGGTCGTCAAAAAACGATGGCGAACCCGAGTCCCGGCAAACCCGGGTCTTACGCTCCCCCGATCGGAGGCCAGCACTTGAGCAGGGACCGACCGTGCCGGCATTCCTACCGTCCTACCACGAAGTGTTCTTCGAACCCAGAAGCGTTCTGAGCACATAAACGATGTTCTTAGAACATGAACCCGATGTGTTCCAACAAGAAAATCTCAACCAGAAATGTTCTAAGAACACCTCGTTGAAGCCACAAAAGGTTCTTAGAACATTGTTGGGTAGGGCTATAGGCGAGCTGGGACGCTTCGCCACTGCTTGAAGCACGGGGGGGAAATGGGTACGGGCGGGCCTTCGTTCGGACGGCATCCAGCCTTCTGAGAAATGATCGAGGCATCCAGGCTTCTGAGAAGCCCCGACGCCTGCTGAGAAGGCTTTCTCCTTCTCACTTCCCCCCCTCCCTCGCCGTCGACCCCACTCCCGACCTGGTGAGGGGGTCCGGGCTGGGGGTGGAGGTTGCTATTTGGGGCTCTTGGGGGCCAATACTGAACACCCCCACCCCCGGCCAGGACTCCCTGGATCACCAGGTCCAGAGTGGGGGTCCTGGGTGCGGGTGGGTTGTGCTGTCCTCACTCGCGAGAGGCCTCCCAAACGGGGTCCGAATACAGTCAGCGTGCTATAAGAAGGAACGCATAGTACAACGTGGCCAATCCCCAACGTGGCCAATCCCGAACGTGGCCAATCCCTAGCTTATCCTCCCCCCCTACGTGGCCAGTCCAGAACGTGGCCTAACCTAACGTGGCCAACTTCTAAGACGAAGGAATAAAGGGAAGTTTCCTCGCCACGGCGGGCCTGGGCTACACATCTAAGGAACGGCCCGAACACACCAGCCCCATCCTGATCCCGGACCAGTCCTTCTTTCAGCGTCTTGACTGCAGATGGGGCCGAAGGGTCGCGCCGCATCGCCGATGCATCAGCGACGTCGGCGATGCATCGGCGACGTCGGCGTGGACAACATCGGGCTCCACATCGAGCCACATCGCCGATGCATCGGCGATGCGGCGCGATCCTCGAACCTCATCTACTCTGACCCCATCAGGGAAGCCTAGACTACTGTGAGGAACGCCGCATAAGCAACGGAGGTGGGTCATCTGAGCAATTGCTGCCGGCAGTCCCAAGGGGAAGTGGCACGGGAGCAGGCCTTCTCAGAAGGCGGCGAGGCGTCTCAGAAGCTCTCGCCTTACGAGGAGCTTTCTCATCCGTCTCCGAGGACAGAGATGGCCTCTCAGAAGGCCGATCGGGGCTTCTGAGAAGCCCCGCCGCCTTCTGAGAAGGCCTGCCCCCCTCTCGCTTCCATGATGGGCTCGCCGCCAAAATGGTGGGTTCTGACTTCCCAGACCCCCGACAGCATGATTTTTTCATGACGTCGACCCCCAGAGATCTCGACCCATTCCCCGGGACCGTTTTTTCATCCTGAATCGTTTTTTGACGCTCCCGAGGCCCGGTGAAGGCCCCCGGAGGCCGGTGAAGGCCCCCTGAGGCCGTGATTTTTTCACTACTCGAGGGGGTCTGGCTTCGGCGCCTCGACTGCACGCTCTTGCGAGCACCGGCCTGTCGCCGCCGTCGTCGTCGTCGTGGTGGTGGTGGTCGTCGTCGTCGGCCGTCGTCGCCGCCGCTGCCGATGGGTCGGCGGTGGGCCCCCGACCGCGGTGGGCGGTCGGGGCCCCGCCCGGTCGGCGAGGAGTGGGCGACGGGGGGTCGGGGCGCCTTCCCCGTAAGAACGGTGTTTTGAAGGCAGATCTGCCTCCAAAGAACGGTTTTTTGAAGGCAGATCTGCCTTCAAAAAATTGTTTTTTGAAGGCAGATCTGCCTTCAAAGAACGGTTTTCTGCAGGCAGCTCTGCCTGCAAAAAACCGTTCCAACAGGGCCCATGCCCCCCTCAAAACTTTGCCACCGGGGGAGTGTGCCAATCACAGGGCGGGCACGTGCGAGAAGGCGAGAACCACGTATTACCAATTCGCCGGCCCAACGGGCCAGAGGCGCGCTAAGACCTCCGGTAACCACTTAACAATATTTCTAATTCGCGCGCGCGGGGCGGCCCCTGGGGGGCCCCGGCTGATCCCCGGCCGGGTCCCGGGCGATCCCCAGGGGGGAGGCTATTTTTCGCCACCCCTCACGAGGATCGTGGCCTCGGGGGGGGGGCTGCAACCGACTACCCCTCCTCCCGCCCCCAAGAGGCCCCAGGGGAGCCCAATACGCCGCCAAGGAGCCCCAAGACGCTCCCAAGAAGCCCCCAAGACGGCGACAAGAGGCCCCAAATAGCGCTCCAGGGCCGGCGGAATGAGCGAAGCGAGTAAAAAACATGATCGACCCACGAACCCGGAAAGGAATATAGAACTGTAACACATGGCAGCGTTTTCAAAGACACCTGACTGGGTGACGGGCAAATGCAATGCTGAGTGTATCGATCTTGATGTACCCTGCCGAGGGCTGTGCTGTGCTGCACCGTGCTGAATTGCGATGTGCCATGGCGCGGTTGTGCTCTATAGCGTCGTGGATCGAGTCCTCCTTTGCATCCGAGTCCTGACCGAACTGATCTGGATCTTAAGCTCGAGCTGCCTGCTAGTAGCTGCCTCACAGCTAATTGACAGGGGAACATGCCAGGAGGACGCGCCGCGAAAAGTCCCAAGGGATGCGCCAGGCGACGTGCCAGGGGACGTGCCATGGGGACGCACCGCGGGACGTGCCAAGGGGGCGCGCTACGGAACGTGCCAATGGATGTGCCACGGGATGTGCCAGGGGACGCGCCGCGCGACGTTCCAGGTGGATTCGCCAAGGGACGCCCCACGGAACGTGCCAAGGGACGTGGCAAATTGCAATGCTGAGTGTATCGATCTTGATGTACCGTGCCGAAATCTGTGCTGTGCTGCGCCGTGCTGAATTGCGATGTGTTATGCCTCGATTGTGCTCTATAGCGTCGTGGATCGAGTCCTCCTTTGCATCGGAGTCCTGACCGAACTGATCTGGATCTTAAGCTCGAGCTGCCTCAGCACATAGTAGCTGCCCTAGAGCTTATTGACAGGGGGACATGCCAGGAGGACGCGACGCGGAACGTCTCAAGGGACCCGCCAAGCGACGTGCCAAGGAACGTGCCATGGGGACGCACAGCGGGACGTGCCAAGGGGACGCGCTACGGAACGTGCTGGGGACAAGCGTTTCGCTCGAGATATCCTGCCGACATCCTCAGAATTCCTGCGCGCGGGACGCGGCACGCGCGAGACATCCTCTGAATTCCTGCGAGCGGAACGTGAAAACAAACATTTCGCCTGAGACATCCTCTGAATTCTGGACCCCCCCGAGGCCCCCCGCGAGGCCCCCGCTCGAGACATCCCCCAATTTTGCAAAACCAGCGTTTCGCTCGAGACATCCTCAACAAATGTTGAAACAACAAGCGTTTCGCTAGAGACATCCTGTCAAAATCCAAAGAAATCCTGGCAAAACAAGCGAATTAGTCGACACATCCTCAAAATCCCTGCGCGCGGGACGCGGCACGCGCGAGACATCCTCAGAATTCCTGTGCGAGGGGCGCTTTTCCGTGTCGCGGTCGGCTCTGCAAAACCAGCGTTTCGCTCGAGACATCCTCAACAAATTCTGAAACCAAGCGTTTCGCTCGAGACATCCCCAACTCTGCAAAACCAGCATTTCGCTCGAGACATCCTCAACACATTCTGAAAAAAACAGCGTTTCGCTCGAGACATCCTCAAACATAATTCCGCTGGCCCTACTCCCGTACGTAATTTATCGCAGAATAATTTCGCTGGCCCATCAGCCGTCAGATCCGGGGGTAAACCTCTAAAAGAGAACCCTGGGCTCGAGCCCTTTCCGGGAAAAACAAGAGTACACCTGAGAGTACTAAGAAGACTAATCATAATACTAACCAGACGTGTAACAATGCTATGCCTACGACTACGACTACTACTACTACTACTACTACTACTACTACTACTACTACTACTACTACTACTACTACTACTACTACTACTACTATTGCTACTACTACTACTACTACTACTACTACTACTACTACGACTACTACTACTACTACGACTACTACTACTACCTACTACTACTAATACTACTACTACTA